GGATGCCAGTTCTAAGGGTCTAAATGTTAAGTGTTCCCGACCAAAACTGAATGTCATGCGTTCAAATCACGGTTGTAGGGTCGTGGACACTAACTGCTGAGCAGTTTGATAATAGTATGAAATATCATTCTAGTGTTGCCAGCTTTTCAATGGTGGTCTATCATTGATTGATTCATGGTGTCAATTGAAACTTAACGATCTTCACAACCTTATACTGATAAATTAACTTAGTATTGTTTGTTTGAATCTTCCCATCGATATGTTAGGACTGCAACTGGTCAGTCTCTAATTGGCATATGTGCATACTGTGCATATTGCCTCGATATAGCCTTGATTCACAAGCATGATAGGCAAAGATGGATAGTGGATAGCAGTGAAATCCAGGACGCGCGTTTCGTCCTATTTGGGACTCGTCAACTGGATGTACCTGAATCTCAGAGTTGATGTTCACTCTGGGACTCGAACCCATCGCACACGCAAGTGGCTATCAGGACTCAGTGGCCGAGTGAATAACGCGATGGCGTTTGAAGCGAGGGTATTGGCTTCGAGTCTCAGAGTGAATATTAATTGTGGGATGCAGGTACATCCAGTTGACGAGACCCAAATAGTTAAAACGCGCATCCTGGATTCCACTGCTAGCCACTATCCATCTTTGCTTATCATGCTTATACTGATAGTTTTAACAAAATACAGATATAGTAATAATAATGATAGTGATTAGATATAAACCAAGATGTAATTGGAAAATTATTAGGGGATGAACTTTTTTCACAATTTGTTAATCATTGAATAGTGACCAAGGTTATGCATATTAAGTCTATCTTAGTGCCGTATTATTTCCCACGATCCCGACTCGCGAGAATCAAAAACAACCCATCATTTTCGCGCGCGAGCGCTTAACCTCTAGATCAATAAGACGGCATCCAACGATGTCAATGTCTATTTTCAACCGATACACGAAATTGAGCGACACAACCACCATTTCTTTACTCAGTTACTATCTCACAACAGACCTGGTTGAACTCCACTGATCACTGCTTCTCACTAAAAATCCAGAAAATAGCTTTCGAATCTCATGAGGCGAGATCGTGGATGCGCACTGCTATGGAGTCCCACAATAGGACGAAACGGCCGTCCAGTACTTACAGGTTTTCCATGATGGTTTAGCTTCAATTGATTCATGATTTCAACTATTAAAATTGCTATAATATCCACAAAACCTTTTCTTATTTGAAGAAAGCCATATAGAAAACTCACTTCAATCTGAAAGTTTCGCTACTTTTTCCGTTATATATTAAACAGATGATTAAAGTCCAATGATTTAGGATTTTGATGTCATAGAAACGCTTAGTAACTCAAATAGAAGATTGTTAAATTTGAGTTTACTGAATGAAATGGTTCATCTTATTAAAACTTTTATTGTCTTTTAATGTAAAATAATCATTAGTTAGATAGAAGTAATCTGTAAGAGAGTCATTTACTTGATGAAATGTTTGCTTGTATATAATTTAATAGTTAAATTCATGAGTTAATTAAAGCTTGACTATCATGGGAAACCTAGAAGCAATTTCATGGATTGATTAAAGTTAGACATTAACATCGTTGAATACTGACACACTAGTCTACAAGTTAAGAGTTTACTCATCAGACTGAATGTCCTGAGTTCATATACCCCGTGTGAAATTGTTGATATGCACTTCTAAAAAGTCCCATACAAGGATGAAACATCTATTCAGTGATTACAAGTTACTCATGATGGTACAAAGGGGCAACAGATATATATGCGCCACACAAATTCCATTTGATTTCTGTTAGGGCTGTGATACTGCCCAGGTGCCCAAACCGAAGCAGGTGGTTTTCATAGGGGGCCACACCCAGAGCCTTTGACCTGAATGTCTGATCCACAAGGCAGTGGAGCATCGTGAGGAGATGCAGTCCAATGGTACCCGGTGACCAACGATTGATTCATACTCCATTCGTTCCTTCAGGATACTGGAGCAAGCCCATGTGCACCATTGGTTTGGAATCAGGGTTTTCCAACTCCCCTAGGTGGACTTTCCGTGTCCACCAATCCGGTTAAAGCGCCGTACATTCGCTTTTCGCCCTCTCACTTTCACAAACACCGCCGTGACGAGAAGGCAGTGAGTAGGACTTCCCTGACAGAGGCTATATACGCATGGCCATGTGAGAGCATTTAGAGAGAGAGAGCGTACTCTCCCGACTCTCGGCCGTACCAATGCATTTGGGGTCTTAAGTTTTAATACAATTTTTGTTTTCAACTGAATAGAACACAAATGAATATTTATTCATTAACTTCACTAAACACTTGAATTTAAACAAAGAGATCTGTAAACTACATCCCTTTTAATAAGATAAACAATCAAGTTTTTTTAATTACGTTTCAATAAATTTATAAAAACGTGGGGGGGTGTAATTTAATAATTCATTCCATGTTTACTTTAAATTGAAACATACTTTATTAGATGGATTGTTGTTTGTTTTTGTTGTTGTTTTGTGTTTTTAATGTTCGCTTAATGATACTATTCGAGTGTGAATTGATGTGTTAACGATTAAAATCATGGACTGATTTGATTTAGACAATGATAGAATATTTAGAAATCTTAGATGATCATGTGAAGCTGAGTGATACGGGATCGAATGCGTCAGAGAGCATCAGTTCCCTCATGATTAGAGGTACACCTTGCTGATGAATGCCAAATAGCACGAAACCCGTGTCCAGGGTTTCCTGTTGACCAACTCTAACCATCATTTTATTAGATGATCATTCTATTATACAGGACAACTTCAAAGGGAAAATATCTGGAATTTTAGTAGGAAGTTATGACTAGTAAAGTTCAACTCTGTTGGGTGTGTAAATGATACTCATCGAAAACATTTGAAGATGGTAGCTTTAATATCATGGTTTGATTAAAGTTGGACTTGCTCAAGATTGTCCTTTAACTCAGTGATCTAGGAGTTAAGCGAGATAGAAGGTCCCAGGTTCTATTATTGGTTGAACGGTCGTAAATACTCACTGTCGAGAAGTCCCATACTAAAACGAAATAGGTTTTTATAGCTTTCACGTTTCAATGGTTATTTAACTTAGATCAATTCGTGATATCAATAAAATTCAACACTCTCCATACTCCCATACTGATGGTATGTTTAGGTTGAATAATGGACTAATTTATATATTGTTCAATTGCTAATGTTTAAGTTTTATTGTTATTTGTGGAATGTAGCCAGCAATTATAGTCAAAAAGCTTCAGTCTATCTTATTTGAAACTTATCATTTGAATCTACCTATATGGTAATGTTGATATTCTAATTGAACAAGCTAATATTTCATTCATCTTTGTAGATTACATTGTAAAGTTTGCATTGATGGCTACTACGTACGACTTTATTGATGATAACTTCATCGTTAGCTTCTATCTATCCTAAATATAAACGAATGTTATTGTGAAAAATACCATAGGCTATTATTTAATAAGTTTAAATTCCAAAAGGGATCTGTGATTTCTTTTTTGAACGCAAACATAGAGAAAATGGAATACCTTCATAGCTAAAAGTATAAATCATTATTAGTTCTCATCTATGATTGGTTTAAATAGAACTTATTTATCAGAAATGGTTTCTGTGGAAATTGTAGTAATTTAATAGTTGAATTCATGAGTCAATTAAAGCTACACTACCATGGAAAACCGAGAAGTACAGGGAGGTCGTTTGGTCCTAGTATAGGACTCCTCAGAAATTAGTATCCACAATCCCGCACTCGGGATCCGAACCCAAGATCTATAGGTTTCATGCGCGAACCTTTAACCTGTAGACCACTGAGCCAGTAACCAATGTTGTTAAAGTCTAACTTCAATCAATCTATGTAATTGCGCCACCGTCCGTAAAATCAATAGGTCCTGGATTCAAATCTCGCGGGCGAGATCGGGGATGCTTACTGCAGAGGAGTCCCATACTACTAGTCCAGTGCTTTCATGTTTTCCATAGTGGTCTGGCTTTAATCAGCTCGTTAATTCAACTATTAAAAAGCTTATTTACTTGCTTTTGTAAGAATTTAATGAACAAATAAATTATCAAAGAACCAAATCTATTCTATATTAGATCTTCTTAACCGTCTACTCCCAAGTATTTCACTTTTGATTAATGATATATATTACTTATATCTGTCAATATCAGTAGTACACACCACAATACAATATAATAAATTTTTCTTGCTCTGTCATAAATACACTTTATAATGTTAAAGAATAATTTTTAGAAATTTTTCCGTTAGAATTTGTTTATTATAAATTTCCCAAATGAATAATAAATTTTCTCTCTAATAAAGATTAGTGTACAGTTGGGATTTGCAAATTAATCATCTTAGAAGTGACCAATACATTGCATCAAGAACTAAATAAATAAAAAACGTCAGAAGGGGTTTAAAAGGGTTTTAAAGGTTTCAACTCAATAGTTTAAAGATGTTCTATTTACTGGATGTTTTTAATTTTATCTAAAATGAGATTATGATTATACTATTCCATTAAAACTGACGAAGAATTATCTTAAATAGTTGAGATCATGAGTCTATTGAAACTAGATCACCATGGAAAACCTGAAAGCACTGGACAGCTGTTTCGTCCTATTATAAAAACTCCTCACTAGTGCGAATTCACAATCTTGCCTCGTACACTGCTGAAGAGTCCCACAATAGAATGAAACGGCCTTAAAGCAGTGCTTTCAGGTTTTCCACGATTGTCTAGCTTCAAATGATTCATGATTTCAACTATATAAAATTACTAAAATCTCTACAAAACCTCCTTTTGAAGAAATATCTATTCACTAATCGATAACCTTCAAAATAGTTTCTAACCGGTTACAATTTTCTTTTAACTTTAATATAATTCTTTTTTTTTCCTGTATCATCTCCCCCTCCCTTTCTCTCTCTCTCCCTCCAGCCCCCCCTCTCTCTTTATATATATTTTTTTCTTTTTTTTCTTTTGTAGTCATGGCTGAGTGAAATCAATGCAAATATACAATCAAATAATAATATACTTATTATATTAGTTGGTAATAAATTAGATGAAGAAAGAAATCGTATGGTCTCAAAAAAAGAAGGTGAACGTTTAGCTAAAGTAAATTAATGATTATTTTGTTGGTTTATTTTATTTTTCCCCCTAATGAGATCCAAATATGTGGATTATTTTTTTGTTTTATAATGATCTATTCTGTGGTCAGTAAATGACTTTGTTACAGATAACGCTGTAGCTAACTTCAATGGAAACAATTATGGAATATTCATTATAAACAAAGGATGTACATATACCAATAAAAGAGGCTCATCAATTATAATCCTAAACATCAATGGAGAGATTCAAACAATCAATACAAAGATAAATTAAAACTTTGCCTTATTGCATAACCTAGTGGTCGTCTGGATTTAGTAGCTACATGGATAATGCGATAACATTTGAAGAGAGCGGTGCTGAGTTCGAGTCCTGTGTTATATCGTTTGCCTGCGTGTGTGTGTGCACAGTTGTTATATCGATATATGAACGTACTGATTCCCGCCAATCAGAGAGCAGTGAATATATTAATCGCAGAACACCGTATTGAGCAGTCTTGAGTACTTATCAGCCCCAGTATCTGCCTAGCCCAGCCAGTTAAGTCCAGAACACCAATAACAGCTTCTGCAATATGAATCATTATTCTCAAACATACTGGGTTTATATAGCAATCAGACAGACCACATCGTACCATAAAACAGAAAGTAACATTTTGTACAAGATTTAGCCAAATGTGGCCGTGAATAGGGGGAACAGTAATAAATAGACTAGGGATAACTCAAGAACGGTAAATCGTATAATAATAGTCTATAGGTCAAAATAAAGCCTGTAATAAGAGGGACATGAATATGAATAGTTTAGTTACTTAGCATTTATACAATAGGAAATATGCATATCATATTGGTCCATAAATAGTCCTCAGAGTTACCATTCATAATTCTCCACAGGTTTAAACATCCTGGTGTGCACATTAGCTCTGGGATATATATAGATCCAGCTGATGAGCCCCAAATAGGACGGAACGTGAGTTCTGGATATCACTATAAGCCACTATCCATCTCTGATTATGGAATATGTACTATTTAGGAGTTTCATAATGTGACATAATGATTATTTATGACTCTTTGATTCTTTAGGTGATGTCAGTCTTTAAATGTAATCCAACTTTTTAAACTTGAATAATATTCACAAAACGTTCAAGTTAAAAATACAACAATTCCATAGTTGTTTAGTGGACTTATCTTAGTAAAACGACCATTTAAAATCAGAAAGCATTGAACTTCTTTTTCATCCTATTATGGACTTGTATAACAGTGTTCGTCAATGAACTCACCACAGATAGAACGTAGAACCATCATGGACAGATGAATAAATAGATATATGAAAGTAGAATATATCGAAGAGACTAAAGAAAATGTGATACGGTTCATGTAAAATGAGTTGATAATTAAAAAAGAATCTTTCAGAAGATCATTTTAGACTTGAATAAATCTTTGATTATAATACTGAATAAAGTGGGTTTGAATCTTACGAAAATCTACAGTTTCTTTGAAGATTAAAGATACAATTCATGCTGATATGTATCAAAGCCCAGATCATGTCAAATTTCTTATTCAATCTCTTCATTCGCGAACTTACTTACGCCTGTTACTCCCAATAGAGAATAGGCCGCCGACCAGCATTCTCCAACCCACTCTGTCCTATGCCTTCTTTTCTAGTTCTATCCATTTTTTGTTCATTCTTCTCATGTCTGTCTCCATTTCTCGGAGTAATGTGTTCTTTGTCTTCCTCTTCTCCTTTGACCTTCAGGATTCCATGTGAGGGCTTTTCTTGTGACACAATTGGGTGATTTCTTCAAAGTGTGTCCTATCCACTTCCAGGTCTTCTTTCTGAACTCTTTCCCCGCTGGAATCTGGTTTGTTGTCCTCCACAGTAACTTGTTGCTACTAGTGTCTGGCTAACGGATCCCAAGTATCTTGCATAGACAACTGTTAATAAATACTTGTATCTTCTGGATGATGGCTTTAGTAGTTCTCTAGGTTTCCGCTCATACAGTAGAACTGTCTTCACATTTGTATTGAAAATTCTGATCTTGGTGTTGGTCGACAATTGTTTTGAGTTCACGAAACACTACATAAAATATATTACTATTCTGAGTTACTCATTAGGTTGAGTATATTCTGACTAGACTGATAAAATTTGATTAACATTTTAGTCTAGACACTGTTACAGATTAGTATGTATTAATCTGTTATAAAGTAAAGAACTCAGTCACACTATATGACTGTGGTAAATTGAAAAGCTTTATAAAAATGCCATTAATCATTGCTCTATGGTTACCATACGTTTTATCAAGATTTTAGAAATATATTAATTGTATGTATCAACTACGAACCTGTCCATCTCTATGATTAAGATATTCAACTTTCATCTACCAGATTGTCGGTTCGAAACCTGTTCCATCTACTTTAATTTAAGTAACCTAGTAGTATCACATATCTTCATACTCAGAATAACTCAAAGATAACTATACAAGTTAATACATATTAATAACTGATCAAAATTCATTCATTTAGTTAATGAAGTATGACAACTTGAACTGATGCATATATATGTGCCTGGTCCTACATTGTAGCTGACTGACTAAACTAAACTCAATTTTAAAAAAAAGTATATTTTGTTGATTAATTCATAGTTACCAGTCTATGAATAAATGAGGAAAAATTTCACGTGTTAACTTTATTTTTCTCTCTCTTTGCATTGTTTTGGCATAAATCAATCAACCAATTCATTATCTATCAGAGATAATAATTATGTTATAGATGGATATTTCAATGAATTGATTTGTTTTTCTTTAAGGTTATACAGAAATATTTATTATAGACAATAAAAAATGAAGTATAATAACTAGTAACTAAAAGTCATTATGTTTAAGTGGATTGTAATCAATAGTCACCGTTGGATACCGGCTTAGTGGTCTAGACGTTAAGCGCTCGCACGCGAGACCAATAGGTCCTGAGTTCGAATCTCGCGAAGTGTGATCGTGAATGCACACTGTTGAGGAGTCCCTTAATAAGACGAGATGGCTATCCAGTGCTTTCAGGTTTTCATTTGTGGTGTAGCTTCAAATGACTCTTGACTTCAACTATATAAAATTACTAAAATCATCTTCAAGTAGATATTCATCAAAAAATTAAGTAGCATTGTACAATTCAAATAATGTAACGTAGAACGCTTTCTGTAATGTTTATCTTTGTACTTGACAATTATTCACTACAACAATTTCTGATTAGAATTCAATTGTTTAATAAAATGTTGACATTATAAACAAAGATGAATAGTAGATAGCAATGGAATCCAGTTTGATACGCATTTCATCCTATTTGGGATTCGTCAATTGGATGTACCTGCATCTCAAAGTTGATGTTCACTCTGGAACTCGAACTCAGTACTTTTCGCTTCCACTCAGCTACTGAAATCTAATAGCCACTTGCTTGTGCAATGGGGTTAAGTATGAATTCCCTTAGTATTGTTTGTTTGAATCTTCCCATTGATGCTTAGGACTGTAACCGGTCAGTCCATCCAGTACATCCAGCCGACAAGTCCCAAATAGGACGAAACGCGCGTCAAACTGGATTCAATTGCTAGCCACGATCCATCTTCGCTTAGAATGCTTGTGAATTAAGGCTATATCGAGGCAATACGCACAGTATGCACATATACCAATAAGAGACTGACTAAATGCAGTCCTAAACATCAATGGGAAGATTCAAACAAACAATACTAAAATGTTGATATGTTCTTTTTAAACTTCTTAAAAAAAGAAATCCCCCTTCCTTACTTCCCCCACCCCACCCCCCACGAAATGAAACTAATTTCCGTTAAAAAAAACTCACTGTTAATAACACCTAAAAAAAGAAAAAAAAACTAGGTCATGTAACTGTCAACATTTATGATAATAATAATAAATAATAACGAAATGATTAAATAATGTGAAAATTTCCATTTCAAAAACAATTAGTTAAAGGTCACACTGTTAGGGGAAACCTTGGTAGACCTTTTGTTTCATATTTGTTACTACTCATCAGTAAACTATAATTGTTACTATGTATCATTTAGAGTTATATTGATTAGTATCGATCATTATCATTTATTGATTGTGTTCAATGATCTAACTTTCAAGCATAAAGTTTTAATTACGACTAATCATTGACTGATAGTTAAACTCCAAACTGATTGGTAGGAATTTTTTTATTAGAAGGGGTTTTGTGACTAGTGGTTAGTAGAGTTCAACCAGGTATGTTATGAGATAGTAACTCACTGAAGGCAATGGTGGACGGTTGCTCAATTTCAAGGATTGGTTGAAGTTAGACATTAACACCGTTAGATGCCGCCCAGCTCCGTGGTCTAGAGGTTAAGTGTTCGTGCACGAGCCTGATAGGTCCTGGGTTCGAATCTTGTTAGTCGGGATCATGGATGCTTACTGCTTAGGAGTATCACAATAGGACGAAACGGCCTTAAAGCAGTGCTTCTTGAATTTCGATGGTGGTATAGCTTCAATTGACTCATGATTTCAACTATATAAAGTTAGAATATCCTTAATTCTATATATGAATTCTTTTACATAGATACATGATATATAATGTAATTGAACGAAGTGTCAGGATGATAATCTTTTGATTGTAGTGAATACGATCAATCCACAACAAATACTTTCCTGAATATACGAGAAATCTGACCTATGAGTTCCTTGAAACTACAATTCTTTACAGACATTTTTAACTATACCTAATATAACAGGAAAATGTTTCCAAGATGATGAGGTCACATAAAGCTATAAAAAAAAAGATTTCAGTTGTTGTCAATTACGTGACCGTTAGAATATCTTTAAAATTCCCGCTTTCATGTTTTATAAATCACATTTATACGTCGATACGTAATGAGTTCCTTATAATGAACATTACTTCATTCTAACTGGTTACCATGTTTTTCTATGTTACGAACAGGCTATATATACAATAATCGAATCGCATGTACTTACATATGTCTGTTACCCCTCATGTAGGAGGGATAGGCCACTCTTAAGCATTATCTATCAAACTCTGTCATGGACAATCCTTTCCATTTCTTTCCAGTTAACATTCATCCTTTTCATATCTACTTCCGATTCCCGACACAGTGTGTTCTTTGACTTTCCTCTTTTTCGTTTCCTTTCAGGATTTTATATTATGGCTTTCCCAGTGATTCAGTTTGATGATTTCCATAATGTATGTTCTATCCAATTTCAGAGTACTATCCTGATTTTCTCGTCCACTAAAAGTTGGCTTATTTTCTCTAACAGTAGGATTTTGCTGATAGTATGCGGTTAGTGAATGTTGAGTATTTTGCGTAAACAATTGTTTACAAATACTTGTACCTTCTTGATGATGATTGTAGTAGTTCTTCACGTTTCAGCTCAGTACAGTAGGATTGTCTTGACGTTCGCATTGAAGATTCTCACTTTGAGACTAGTCGATAGTTGTTTTGATTTCCATATGTTCTTCAATTGTTGAAATCTAATCTATTATTGTATACGTTACTTCAAATATGGTTATGAAGCCTTATGATTAAATTACATAAGAACTGATATAGTGTAAACATTTACCTCCCCTTCTTACGTAATCAGGTTATGACAAGGTTATTCACATTGCTAATCTATTTCTAACTTTGATATATTTAAATAGAAACAAAGATTGAAATTCGCTTAGTATTGTTTGTTTGAATCTTCCCATTGATGTTTTAGGACTGCAACTGTTCAGTCAGATACAAAGATTTTTATGAAATTTGTTTCCTTATATGATTCTTAAATTTAAAAACAAAATTAACCGGATTATGTATCCTTTTTTTCAGCAAACTGATGCATTATTCTGGGAGACAAGCGCTAAAACTGGGGCTCATGTTGATTCAATGTTTCATTGTATAGCTGAGTAAGATTTTAAAAACCGTTTATTCTGTCACAATATTTTAATTATATCATTTACAGGTTTGGTTATCTGTGACACTTTCAATGTTCAATAAATGTGATCTATCTAGCTATTCCTATTAATTTTCCAATTCCCTTAGTGACTGATTACCTTATGTTTGCTCACTTGTTTACATACTTACACTTGTTACCCCAGCACCACCACAGTGGAGCATAGGCCGTCAACCATCACCCTCCAACCCACTCTATCCTGGGCCTTAATATTACAGTATAAAGCTCATTGACTGTCTGTTGTGAACTTGGCAGTTTAATCTAATTTAATAATCCAGATAAGAAAACACAAATATATTGATAATTAGAGATTTAAATGAATTATTTAATGAAAATGACAGAGTAACATGCAGTACTCAGTGTGGTATGTGCTACTGATACCGATAAATATAAGTAGTATATATCACCAATCAAAAGTGTAATACCTAGCGGCTGAAGATTAGGAAGTTCGAAAAGAAGAGAACGTGAACAGTGAATGATTGTCGTGGAAAAAAAGAATCATTCAAGTCTGATACGTTTGATTGACATTTTCAAGAAGGAACGGTGAAGTTTGAGACAATTGATTGACATTTTACGAATGAAGTATTTACTGTAGGTTTCCATAAGTTTGTGTTGAAATACATTTAGTTGTCCCCACTTGTATTCTCGTTCACTATATCAGTACTTTTACCCGGACGCATATATGAAAGAATGATTATTTTAAAGTCTTCAGATAGACTACATTATTTTCATTGTTGAAAGCATGAGTCAATTGAAGCTAGACCATCATCGAAAACCTGGAAGCACTGGACGGCCGTTTCGACCCCAGGACCTATCAGTCTCGAACCAGAGCAGTTAACCAATAGACCACTGAGCCGGCATCCGATGGTGTTAATGTCTATCTTCAACCAATCCACGAAGTTGAGCAACTGTTCACCAATTGTGTTCAGTGAGTTCCTATCTCACAACAGACGTGATTTGAACTCCACTGATTACTGCTTTTCTTTAGAACTCCAGGAATCATCTCTTGAAGTCAGTTACTAGTGACCATATGATTATAATCAGAAGGGGTTTTGTGAAGATTTCAGCATTTTCATAGTTGAAAGCATAAGTCAATTATTATTATTTGGTTATATAATTATTGCTTGTTTACTAAAGGTGTTACAGATGAAAAATTTATGATGAAACCACTTAACTAAAGGGACAAAATATCCATCTGAGTAACAAATTCCCCTCGATATTTGAGTTGGAAAGATTAAATGAACAAGATGTTTTTAAAAAAATCCATTGACAACCGTTTTGTGCATTGTAACTATGAGTCGTGACCTTGGGACAGAATTCGGAAACTTGATTGATTCATCTCTTAACTCCAACTTTACAAATATGGATATTGCGTATCATTTTGTTTATACTATTATCAATAGACCTATCAACTCTGTTAAATAATCAATATGAGATTGAACATCTTAATATGGACATCATAAATGCAGATTAGGTAGTAATCACTTGTACACTCATAACACTTATCACTATTGTGGGACTCTTCAATAGTGCGCATCCACGATTCCGCACTCAGGAGATTCGAACCCAGGACCTACCAGTCTCGCGCCAGAGCACTTAACCGACAAACCACTGAGCTGGCATCTAACAGAGGACGAAACGGGCGTCCAGTGCTTCCAGGTTTTCCATGGTGATCTAGTTTCAATTGACTCATGATCTCAACTATATAAAATTACTAAAATCTCCAAAAAACCCCTTCTGACACTTATCACTATATCAGTTAAATACATGACCATAAACACTAGAATTTATGAAGTTCAACTGGAGGATGATTGATAAAATTTAGATAATAGATTCATAGTTATTAGACCGTAGTATATGAACAGTAGAAGAAAATAAATGCATTAAACAGTTAATCTATCTTAATAGTTAAGATCATGAATCAATTGAAGCTAGACCAACATGGAAAACGTGGATGCACTGGACAGCCGTGTCGTCCCATTGTGTGACTCTTCAGCAATGCGCATCCACCCTTATGAAACCCTTTATCTATCAAAAAACAGTACTTACAATTATAACTGTCCATACACCAAATGATACAAAATGATTCATCAGGGAAATAATAAAACTCATATTACATATCACAACATTTCTCTCACTCTTTTTCCTCGATAACATTGACAATAATCTATTCTACGATTTACTAGTAACTAGCTTCAAAATGAAATTCTTGGTATTCTAGTGAGAAGCCATGACCAAAGGAGTGTAATCTGTGTCGGCTGTAAGACAGTTAACCACAATAGACAATGAAATAAGAGCCGTACAATATCACGTATTGAATAAAGTTAGACATTAACATTGTTAAATACCGGCTCAGTGGTCTAGAGGTTAAACGTTCGTGTTTAAGATCGAAAGTTCTGGGATCCGATCCTCAGTGTAGAATCGTAGATCAACGCTTCTGAGGACTTCCATACTATGATGAAACGATTATCCACTCCTTTCAATGACAGTCTTACTTGAATCAACTCATGAATTCAACTATGAAGAATGTTATTTTTGAATCTACCTATCACTTTATATTAAATTTCTTTCTTTCCCCCCCCCTCATTTTTTTACAGACATTTACTTCAAATGAAAACATCCAATTCTATCATTTCATCAACGAATCATTTTATACAACAATCTAATGGTTATTCAACTAGTCATGTATTACATCATTCTATATCATCATCATCATCAACATCAAATAAATTACCTAAATCACAATCAACTAAACAATTACGAAATTCTTGTTGTTCTTCATTTTAAATAGAAGGGAAACAAACGAAAACTGTAATGTAGATTTGGTTACTTTCATTTATCTTCAATGTAAATGTATGAATTGAAAGGGAGAAAAAAAAAAAGAGGACCATCCATTATTATTATTATTATTAATATTTTTTTGTATCATTTCAAAATATTCCATGAATAATTAAGAAACTCTTGTTCATTTTCCCCCTCGGCCCACTCCACCCCCACTTCTTTCGTTTTATAAAACAAAATAAAGTAAAACAAAACAAACAAACAAATAGAAATTGTACATCAAGAAAGTATATTCAAAATTACCGGAAATTTGTTGAATACAATTCAATGTTACTGTCATTGTTGTTGCTACTGCTGTTGCTGGTGTTGCTGGTGTTGCTGATGTTCAATGTTCATTGTAATTCAATATGCATTAAACATTAATATCATATATATATACACACACACACACACTCAAACATTCCCGTAAGGTAATACATTGAATGAATGAAATTAGAGTTCATTTATAACTAACTAATACAAGAGATAATCATTATTTTTTTTGTTTTTTTTGTTTGTTTGTTTGTTTCTAGGGAAGATAAATTATAAATTCACTTTTTTTTCTTTTTGTATATGTAAAATCATATAAACATATATGAATATATATCTTTCTAGCTGTGTGCTTAATGTATATTACATAAATATATCTATTTTATTCTATAATAATTTTTTTTCTCTTTATTGTTTTTCTTTTTGTTTTTTTCTTTTATTTCACTGTTTCATTATGAGAAAGATTGTATGATAATTCTGTGGGTGGGGTGGTGAAATTGTGGATGTATACTATTGAAGAATCCTATACTAGAACAAAACAACCATCCAGTACTTCAATGGTTTTTCATGGTGGTCTAGCTTTAATTGACTTATGAATTCAACTATTAGAATTACTATCATCTACATAAAAATTCTTTCTGATAATTAATATAAATTATTTATAAATCAAATTATAATGTGATATGATAAGCAAAGATGGTTAGTGGCTAACAGTGGAATCCTGTTTGATACACGTTTCGTCTTATTTGATACTTGTCAGCTGGATGTACCTACATCTCAGAGTTCGTGTTCACATTAGGATTTCAACGCAGTACTGTTCGCTTCAAACACCATCGTGTTATCCACTTAGCTACTGAGTCCTGATAGCCATTTGTTTGTGCAATGGGGTGAAGTTTCGAATTCACTTTGTATTGTTTGTTTGAATTTTCCCATTGATGTGTTAGAACTGCAACTGGTCAGTATCTTATTATTTGCATAGGTGCATACTGTGATATTGATTACGCTGAATTCCACTGCTAGCCACTATCCATCTTTGCACATATGCCAATAAGAGACTGATCAACTACAGTCCTGAAACTTAATAGGAAGATTCGAACAAACAATATCAAGTGAATAAGTGATATTGCTTTATACTAAGGGATTACTTAGTTGAACATACATAAATAGTGGTTTGTGACTAAAACTGATGAATAACAAATAGCACTGTGAGCAGTACACTGATGATCAGTTTCTTTCGAATTAGATCAGTTTATTTATCAGTTATATTTCTAATGGTGTTATCAATGAAGTTTACTGTCTTACTACGGTAGTAATAGTAGTAGTGTAGTGAACAAGAACACGAGTGAGGACAATCAAATGCATTTGACACGACAATCATCGACTATCTCACTAAAATCTGACAATGACACAGTAAAAAGTTAATCTACAAACTATCAGTCATCTATCTCAATCTTGACCATTCCTTCTGCAAATATTAGTCCATCGTCTCTGATTATAATTGTTCATTCATATTCATGCCAACTGAGTTTCGTTTGTGTTCTTTCCTTATCGATCGTCTAGTGAAACACATTCTCTGCCTGACCATTGTCATTTACTACTTATGTGGATGTAAGTAATCTACACCACATCATCTATAAGTTTACTGTCTTACCCATGATTTATTCGTCATATTATAGGACTTCTCAGCAGTGTGTATCCATGAAACAGGCGTTCAATACTTCAAAGTTTTTAATGGTGATATAGCTTAGATTGACTTGTCAATTCAACTGTTAAACTACTGTGGTGTGGTCTGCTTATATCTACATAAGTAGTATATGGTGTGGGTCAGACATAGAATGTATTCTGGGAGAAGACCGATGAGGAAAGAACTGAAATGAAGCGTAATCGTTTGGAAAATGCATGAGCAATGGAATAAGAGAAGAAACAGTGAAGATTGAAACAATTGGTTGTTAATTTGCAAATTGACTGTTCATTGTTTGGTAATCCGAATTTACTGAGATAGTCTGTAATGTTTGCTTAAATACATTCGATTGTCCCCCAGTCGTGTTTTATTCACTACACTACTACAATCTTCACAAATCCTCATACTGGTATCATTTAAATTTATTCATCAATGGGTTTAGTCATAAATCAACATTCGTTTTAATACTATTGGTTTTATTTTTATAAAAAACTGATAAGAAAAGCGAATTTCACCCTTAGACTTGAACCCAGTGTGGTTCGAACTATCCACTTAGCTACTGAGTTCTGATAGTCACTTGATTTTGAAATGGAGTCCCAGAGTGAACATCAACTCGGAGATTCAGTAATATCCAATTGACGGGTCCCAAATAGGACAAAATGCGCAACCTGGATTTCATTGCTAGCCAGTATCCATCTTTGATTATATTTTACTGATTAGATGATCTAAACTCTCATATCTTTATTCTAATGAAAGGAAGCATATATCTCTTTCTTGATATAAAAACATCAAGCATATCATAGTGAGTATTGTTTAAATGTTTAAGACAAAAGGAAAACAAGAAAGAAAAGAAGACAAAAAAGAACCATAGTAACCAAATTTACAAAATATAAGTTCCTTTGGCATTATTCAGCTAGAATAATGAATGAACAGTTCAACATGTTAATGTAAAACAATTAGCTTTAAAATATTCTTATAAAAGCTGAGAAGCAAAGGTTAAATAAACAATACAAAAAAGAGTTTAGAGACATTAAACACCGTAGGGTGCCGCCCAATTCAGTGGTCTATCGGTTAAGTGCTCTAGTGCTAGACTGGTTGGTCCTGGGTTCGAATCTCGCGAGGCTAGGTCGTGGATGCGCAATGGTGAAGAGTTCGACAATAGGACGAGACAACCATCCAGTACTTCCTGGTTTTCTATGATGGTCTAACTTTAATTGACTCATGATCTCAACTATATAATCAAACATTTGTTGTATACTAAACGTGAAGTATGTACTTCTAAAGCTTTTTAAAATGACGAGTAATCCACTTTAAAATTTATTGTTTTATTATAGATGTTACTAAAGACAAATGCTTTTATCCATCTACAAACCTTTATCCATTAAGACAATATCATCTTAGATAAGTTTTAAAATTATGTAATCATTTATTTATGTGATTAGTATGATCATTTCTATCTCCGCCTGTCGGCCTTCCAAGTTTACCGCCTGTCTCAAGTCCAGGTAAAAGAGGAGAGTTGAGCGTAAGATCAGTCATCAACCCTATCTCGTAAGAAACAATCAGAATGATAAGTTCTAATTCCTTCACTTTACTTAACGCATTTCCATGTTATAGATTAGTATGTTTTACATGAAGTCATGCTTTAAGTGTAAAGTTTAGTCATATTATCCAATTGTCACGATTGAAGTAGATAATACATTGTTCGAACCTATGACTTAGTGCTTAGAATTTGAATACCCTAATCACTGTCACACTGTGGTGTGAACTACTTATATCCACATTAGTAGTATAGAGTGATGGTCGAGAAGAGAATGTATTTCACTAAAAAATTGATAAGGAAAGAACGAGAACGAAACGCAATTGGTATGAATAAACATGAACAATAACAATCGGAGACTATGAACTATGGAATGATCAAGATTGAGACAATTGACTGATAGTTTGTAAATTACCTATTTACAGTATAGTTGTCATATATTAATGAGATAGTCTTTAACTTTCATGTCAAATACATTCGACTGTCCCCATCCGTGTTCTTGTTCACTACACTACTACTTAAAAAAAGTTCTCTTGATGACTTGATGAAACTTACTTTTTTTGATAGAACAATCTATGTTCACTTCAACTACATTATAAATTAAGATTTTGTCTTGTTCTATTCTATATACTCACTGTATTGTTTTATACATACTTTCATTATAAATTCAATGGATACTAAATATAGTAATGTTTTTTCTTATGATCTAACTGTCCATCAACAACAAAAGAAAACTAAGGTTAGCCTTAGTAGAAGATGATCAACTTTAGAATGAAATGAAATACATTCTGTTTTGTAACTAAGTTTCATTCTTGTTTTTTTTCGTGACTAGGCAATAAAGAAATAGACTTATCATATCAATCAAGATAGATAGTTTCAAATTCTGTTCTATGAATTATAAGAAGATTGTCTGAATAGCTTGTCATTCAATGTTTTATGAAGATGAAACTTCTATTTTTAGATTGTTTTAAAAAGGATAGATTAAAGGATAAGAGTATTGTGTTGTATATAACTCGTCAAAATGATTTCTTAGACATGATATTAATGAGCACTTTATGTAGTTATTCACATTCAGAGATAATTTCGATCGTTTTTTTTGTGATTTATGGACTCATTAAAGTATAACAAGTAGTTTAAGATAGCGTTTTGATCTCTGAACTGAATGGCTTGATCGTCGTCGTCGTCGTCATCGTAGTAGTAGTAGTAATAATAATAATAGAATTAGTAGTAATAGTGGTAGTACTAATAATAGTAATGGTAGTAATAGTATTAGTAGTAGTAATGGTAGTAATAGTAGTAGTAGCAGTAGTAATGGCAGTAGTAATGGTAGTAGTAGTAGTAGTAGTGGTAGCAATAATAGTAGTAGTAATAACAGTGCTAATAGTACTAGTAGTATTAGTAGTAACCTGATCATTAAATTATTTACTTTCCAGTCAGTCAATTCAAAACTTAAATCCACTTTCACCGATTTCCTTTTTGCCAATTAGATTATATCATTAACCCTTAAACAAATAGTATTTGTTAAAATTTTATAAATTAAACTGATTTAAGTACAAATATTACTGAATTAAAAACTTTTATATAATATAGTTAAATTCATGACTCAATTGAAGCTAACCCACCATGAAGAACGTGGAAGCATTGAACGGCCGTTTCGTTCTATTGTGGAACTCCTCAGCAGTGCACCTTCAGGTTTTACATGGTGGTCTAGCTTCAACTGCCTCATGAATTCAATTACAAAATTACTAAAATCTACACTAAACCCCTTCTGATCTATAATCATATGCCCACTAGTGACTGACTTCAAGGGATGTTTCCTTGAGTTCTAGTGGGAAGCAGTAACCAGTGGCGTTCAACCAAGTCTGCTGTAGAGATATCAACTCACTGAAGAAAATTGATGAAAGGTTGATCAAACATCGTGGACTGGTTGAAGTTAGACATCAACAACGTTGGATGCCGCCCAGCTCAGTGGTTTATCGATTAAGTGCTTTTGCGCGAGACTGGTAGGTCCTGGGTTCGAATCTCGCGAGTGCGGGGTCGTGGATGCGCGCTACTGAGTCCCACAATAGGATGAAACGGCCGTCCAATGCTTCCAGGTTTTCCATGGTGATCTAGCTTCAATTGCTAGCCACTATCCATCATTGCTTATAGCATTAGTCACATTATGTTGAAATA